TCTTGCACCATGCCTTGGTAACCATTTCACTTTTGTCTATGATTTTGACTACTTTAGATACTGTATATGAGTGAGAACATGCAATACATTCTTAGTGACCATTCTATTTCACTTAACCCAAATTCCCTGTGTCTGTTCATGTAGGACCATAAGACAGGCTCTTTTTCTTAAGGCTGCATAATAGTCCATTTTATGTATATACCCCATTTTGTCTCTTCATTCATCCACACATGGACATTTGATTCACCAAAATTCCTCAGACTCCTGAACCTTCTCCCAGGCTCACCTGTGCTCTTTCTTGTAAAATCCTGTTTTGGCAAGAACTTAGCTAATTCAGTCTCACCAGAACCTTCCATCCTTTGTTTCTGCTCACCCTGAATACCTGATCGGGTTTGTCACCCTTCGCCATTCTCCCTGGCCCATCTTCAGCAAAAGTCCATTAGGTTTGTTTAACTAGATAGCCCCTTTCCCCTGATGTTTCCCCTTAGTCATTTTCCATCTTCTGTCTGCAACCCTGCTCCTTGGCTAAAAATTAGCACTTGGTCATACTGTATTTGGAGTTAAGTAGCCTCTCCACTGTGAAGTCCCATTAGAGAAGTCCTTGTACTACTGGTGTGTTTCTGAATAAACATGTCCTGCCACTTTAACAAGCGTCATTGAATATTCTCCTCTACAGCAACACCATACACCATACACAGCATGGAGTGGATGAACAGTACTGCGTCGGCATCGGTGTTGTGAGCTTCCCCTCTGTAAGCAGCATCCTACAAGCGTCAGAACTTTCGATCCCTACATAATACCAAAGGCGTTAAGGTACCCAACTTTGGTACCAAACCCAGTACTTGGGGCCTTATGGAAGCACCTTCTGGTGGTGAACACTCTGCTTCATTAACTTAAGCAGATCCCTGAACCTCCTAGTCTCATCTGTGGACTTTATTAAATTTAGTTTTAGCAAAAGCCCCGCTAAGTCCATTTCACAAGAACCTGATCCCCCTGGATATCTGATCAGGTTCGTCATTCTTCACCTCCATGGGATTCTATAGTATTTGTCTCTCTTTTGACTGGCTTATTCCCTTAGCATAATGTCCTTGATATTCATTCATGCAGTAGCATGTAATTTTTTTTCTTTAGGCTGGGTAATATTCTATTATATGTATATACACCGTTTTCTTTCTCCATTCATCTATTGACGGACATTTGGGTTGGTTCTGACCTTGACCATTGTGAATATGTTGTGATAAACATGGGGGTCTAAATATCTCTTTGAGATAACACTTCGAGCAGTTTTGCACAAATGTCCAGGAGTGGGATTACTGGGTGAAAAGGTATTCTTTTTATATTTTTGAGGGATTTCTGTAATGGTTACACTATTTACAGTCACAGCAAGTGCTCTTGAGTTTAACTTCTCCACTTCCCTAGCAGCAATTGTTTGCTTCTCTCTTTTTAAAAAAACAAATCTTTTTTTAAAACTTTTTTTTGGGGGGGTGAGAAGGTAATTAGGTTTATCTAGTTATTTACTTTTTAATGAAGGTACGGGGGATCGAACCCAGGACCCTGCACATGCTAAGCACACACTCTACCACTGAGCTATACCCTCCACGCCCCAGCAACAATTGTTATTTTCTATTCTTTTGATAGTGGTCATTCTGATACCTGTGAGGTAATGATATATCGCTGTGGTTGTGATTTTCAGTTTCCTGATGATTAGTGATGTTGAGCATGCTTGTTGGACATTTCTCTACTTTCTTTGGGGAAATGCCTATTCAATCACTGCCTCATTTTTAATCGGGTTATTTGTTTTGTTCTTTGAGTTGTAGAAATTTGTTCAATATTCTGCATGGGAAGCCCTTATTAGATATATAATTTACAATTACTTTCTCCCATTCTACAAGCTGCCTTTTGCTCTGTTGTTTTCTAGATGCTTAATACTTTTAAAGTTTGATGTAATCTCATTTGCCTATTTAAAAATCTATATGGACAGTGTATTAGTGTATTTGGGGTAATAAGTATAATAATTAAATGCACAATGGTTACTGTAATATTTTCTGTTGCTGTGTAACTCATTGCCACAAACTTAGTGGTTTAAACTAAATTTATTTATTAATTCATATTTCTGTTGTCATAACTGCCCACACTGTGTTCAGAGTTGAGCCCAGTCCCCTCACTGTTATGTCCCACTCGGAGGTCCTCATACATATTGCTGTGACCCTGAATAAGCCTGTGTAAGCACCATCCATTGCATCACACGTGGAACTGTACCATGCAGTGTATGTGGTGCTGTACCTCAGCACTGGACCTCAGGGCCACAGTCAGGTGCATTTTAGCACAATTCCGAGTCACTTTTCGCTGACAAGGATTCTTTTTTCACCATACTTTAGACAGGCTCTTGAACCTTCTCCTAGGCTCATCCAGGCACTTACTTGAACAATCTTGTTATAGCAAGAATCCTGCTATGTCAGTTTCACTAGAACAACCCCCTCTTCCATTTCTGATCTCTTTGGATATCTCATCAGGCTCCTCACGCTTCTCCACCCCTCCAGGTATCTGATTACCCTGACCTGTCTTTGGCAAGAATCCTATCAGGTTGTTTCCACCAGAGCCTCTATTCCTGATGTTCCCTCTTAGTAGTTTCCCATCCACTGTAAATTCCCATTTGCCCATACTGTTTTGTGAGCTAAGTGCAGTCTCTCCCTTACTGTGAAGTCCCAGTTGGAGAGGCCCCTGTCCCTATTGCTATGGTCCTGTATAATGCCTGTCTTCTCGTTTTCGCAAGCATCATTGAATAATCTTCTTTACTGTCGCACAGGACTACAACACCGAAACACGGCTTGGCCAGACCAAACTGCCTAAGTAGCACTATACTCACTGCGCACACGATACCATTAAACTCACTTCGTGGCTCCTTGCGAAGCTGTGCTGGGCTCGGCAGCTCTTCTCAGCACTCTCGGGAGCAGCTGGAGGAGGACTCAACTTCTTGAGCTCCCTAATTTTAGGCTGGGAGATCATGGCAACAGCTGAAAAAACCAACACAATGCTGTAACCATCAAGCAGCAAGCTGGCCAAGCAGTTCAAGAATTTACCACCTCCTTCTGGTGAGACCACTCTGCCACTCAGTGCCAGTTGTTCTAAAAACCTACGCTGGATTTGTTTTGAGCATAAACAGTAAGACACATATACAACAAAAAGGATGGTGATGAAGGAAGAGATTCTGTATTAATTGCACAGTTCCCTAGAACAGGGCCACCAGGGGAGGTAATCTGCAGGATCAGCAGAAAGGTGGGGTGAGGGCCTTTCTGGAGGTTTTCTCTGGAAGTATTGGCAAGGTAAGCAGGGCAGAAACTATGATGGGAGAGTTTGAACAGTTCCTAGGGACCCTGGACCATACGGTTAGCCCCCAGTAGTCTTGCACTTGGCCCTGAAGTGATTAGGGCAGGGGATAGAGTCCTGGAATGTAGAGATCTGATAAAAGAATCTGTCCAGGTAGGGGGTATCGACTCTGAATTGGTTTGCTTGCATATCAAAGTTTTTTTTTTGGCAGGTAAATTGTTTGTTATCTCTTGGATTTAGTTAATCCAGGAGGATGGGTTCCCATATCCAAAGGCTCCAAATTCCACCAGGAGGGTGGGGGCGGCTCACAGCCCTGCTCTCCTGACAGTTCACCGTGAATGATGATATTACTGCGCTCATGGTCGATGACGGCTCCAGCATGTGCAAGGCCGGCTTCCCCTCCATCGTGGGGCACCCTCAGCACCAGGGCATCATGGTGGGCATGGGCCAGATGGATTCCTATGTGGGTGACGAGGCCCAGAGCAAGAGAGGCATCCTGACCCTCAAGTACCCCATCGAACATCGTCACCAACTGGGAGGACATGGAGAAGATCTGACACCACACCTTCTACAACAAGCTGCATGTGGCCCCTGAGGAGCACCCCGTGCTGCTGACCAAGGCCCTGCTGAACCCCAAGGCCAACCATGAGAAGATGACCCAGATCATGTTCGGGACTTTCAACACCCCAGCCATGTATGTGGCCATCCAGGCTGTGCTGTCCCTGTACTCCTCTGGCAGCACCACTGGCATCATGATGGATTCCGGTGATGCGGTCACTCACACTGTGTCCATCTACAAGGTGTAAGCCATCCCCCACGCCATCATGCGTCTGGACCGGCTGGCCAGGACCTGACGGACTACCTCACGAAGAGCCACACGAAGCGTGGCTACAGGTTCACCACTACAGCTGAGTGGGAAATTACACGTGACATCGAGGAGAAGCTCTGCCGTGTTGCCCGGGACTTCCAGCAGGAGATGGCCACCGCCACCTGCAGCGCCTTCCTGGAGAAGAGCTACGAGCTGCCTGACAATCAGTTCATCACCACCGGCAACGAGCGCTTCTGCTGCCCCAAAGTTCTCTTCCAGCCCTCATTCCTGGGCATGGACCCTCTGGCAACCACGAGACTACCTTCAACTCCATCGTGAAATGTGACGTCAACGTCTGCAAGGACCTCTATGCTAACACGATGCTATCTGGTGGGACTACCGTGTATCCTAGCATCACCGACGGGATGCAGAAGGAGTTCACTGCCTTGGCTCCCAGCACGAAGAAGATGAAGATCACTGCACTCCCCTCTTCCCCAGCGCAAGTACTCCATGTGGATCTGCGGCTCCATCCTGGCCTCATTGTCCACCTTCCAGCAGATGTGGGTCAGCAAGCAGAAGTACAACGAGTCCGGCCCTTCCACTGCCCACCGCAAATGCTTCTAGGTGGACTTAGTTATATTCCACCCTTTTCTTGACAAAAACTAACTTGCGTAGAAAATGAGATGAAATTGGCATGGCTTTATTTGGTTTTTGTGGTTTTTAAAAAATACATAAATTTATTTATTTTTGGTGCTTGACTCAGGATTTAAAAACTGGAATGGTGAAGGTGACAGCAGTCAGTTGGGTCAAGCATCCTTAAAGTTCTACAGTGTGGCCGAGGACTTTGTACATTTTAATTTTCAATAGTCATTCCAAATATCATGAGCTGTATTGTTACAGGAAGTCCCTTGCCTTCCCCAAAGCCACTTGCTTCTCTAAGGAGAAGGGCCAGTCCTCGCCTGAGTCCACACAGGGGAGGGTGATAGCATTACTTTTGTGTAAATTATGTATTCCAAAATATTAAAAAAAAGTTTGCCTTAATACTTGTTTTTGTTTATTTTATTTCGAATGGTCAGCCATCACGGCCCCTCTTTTTGTCCCCCAACTTGAGATGTATGAAGGCTTTTGGTCCCCCTGGGAGCAGGCTGAAGTGTGGAGGCAGCCAGGGCTTACCCGTACACTGACTTGAGACCAGGTCAATAAAGTGCACACCTTAAAGAAAAAAACAAACAAGCAAGCAAGCAAGCAAACAAACAAATTCCATCAGGAGTACAGAGAATAGCGGGGGAGGGGATAGCTCAGTGGCAGAGCGCATGCTTAGCATGCATGAGGTCCTGGGTTCAATCCTCAGTACCTCCATTAAAAAAGAAAAAAGGAGTACAGAGAGTAAGATAGTATAGTTAATACAATTGACCCTGTGTGGCTCAAGCATTTCTCAAAGGCTTTGGCGGTAATGAATGGAAGATACCTTAGCCACAGGAGTTAACCCAAGTTGAACATGTTCTAGAGACCTGATGTGCAATATTGTGCCTACAGATAGCAATGCAGCCTTGTATATCTATCAGTTAAGAGGGTAGATCTCATTAAATGTTCTCACCCCAATGAAATAAAATACAATAAAATAAATGTAACAGTAGGGAACTACATTACACTATTTTAAGAGGCAAACAAACAGGAAATTGATCAGTAATATACCTATTAATAAAATTATCAAAAGTTTGAAAGGTTTGTAACTTACAGTGTGCAGGCAGGATAGAATGTAGCAGGATCCTGGGTGAAGCAAACTGCTCGCTTAAGGGAACAGACATCCAGTGGGTGATACTGTTGTAAACAATCCCAGAGAAGTTTGTGGAGGAGGAGTAAGGGAGGCTGCTGTAAGTGTAAAGCAACACAGCTGGGTTGAGTCCAAGGGATCATGTTGAAGAAGAGCTTGAGTAGGATGCTAAGTCCTCTTTAGCAGCGAACTCCTGGGCTAGGGTAACGCTGCCTGCAGCATGGTCCTCTACGACAGTGAGCCAAAATCATTTTTGAAAAGTTGTTAAGTCCTATGTACCCTGGATAATCTATTTTGATGCTGGGAAGCCTCATGCAGGGCTGTCAGGCAACGGATGTTCTGTCTGCTCTCAGGCCAGTGGTGGTCTGGACAAACTGTTCAGGCAGGTCCCGGTTCAGGTGGGGAAGCAGCTCCTCAGTTTCTGCAGGGAAAAAAAAAAAGACTCCAGTTTGTTACTCATTGTATGGTCATGTACAAAGGGTTCTGAGGTCCATTTAGTAGCAAATACCCACGGATAGTCTTTCCAAGAATGTCACTTTTCATCCCTGCATCCTTTACTCCAGAAGTTTCTGAGTCAGGCTCCTACTCCAGAGTCCATCATCAAAAACTTCATTTCCCCACTGACTATAATTTTTAGTTTAAATTTTAATTTAACTAAAATTCTAAATAGAAAAAATTCAGAAGACCCATAAACCATAACATAGTAAGTGCAACGATAATTTTCACTCTCCTCACCTTAATCTTCCTCATTACTCACAACCTCACCTCTGCCATAACTGATTTTATTCATCTCCTGAGTTTCATTTAGGTTTCTTTGTGAAAATACTATTATAAATTTACATCCAAGTTCTCCTTTTCTTACACAAAAAATTATTATACTTTGCTTTTTTCACTTAATACAATCTGGATCTCTTTCCAAATAATATTTGAATATCACTAATGAATTTTTAAAAAGAGCCTATGAAATTCACATGAGCCTCTTAACTCTTCCTTACAGTAACTGTATTCCAATGGCATATTCTTCTGTATTGTTGCAAGTCAACCAGTGAAAACATCTGGGAACTTAAATAGAGGAAAAGGTTCAATAATATAGTTCTCATCTTGATGACTTCATCATATAAGAAGGCAGTATTAATTTTTTCAAGTGAAAACCCCAGAGAATATGAGCTTTCCAATAACTTTTGAGTTAAAGGTAGGAACAAGTGTTAGGTTAAAAACATTTTCAGTCCTGATCATCACTAGAAGTTAAAACCACTATTTTTGAAGGCTACAACTTGTATTTTGGCTAGCAAGAAAAAAGAAACGAAAAGAAAAAATAGGCAGGCAGAAGCAAAAGAGGAGAATGAGAGAAAGAAAAAAAGGAAGGAGTAGAATATGGTAAAAACTGGCCAATAATTATTGCAAACAAACCATGCTAAATTATGTCCCAGCTTTGTATGAAGGTGTCTTACAGGTGTATTATAGGTGTATCCACAGAACATAGAAGTGGAAAAGAGTTGATCTGACCAGCTTGAAAGAAGAATAGGATGGGAAGACTATAACAGAATTAAATCTCATCGCGCATTATTTTAAATAGATGTGGTGGAAAACGTTATTCTGTTAGAAGTTAGTTGATTGCCTTCCTGCCATGCCTTTGCCTGACAAGCAGAAGCAACTGGTAAAAAAAAATTGTTTTTAATTCTTGTGGATCATCGGTATGCTTATTTAGAAATAGGTTTTTATTGCCATTTAGTGATTTGCCGACTTTATAGACATTTTACAGTTGAATCCTGAACAACATGGGAGTTAGGGGCGCCAACTCCACTCCATCAGCAGTTCAAACCTGTGTTGGTTAAGGGCCAACTGTACATTCAATTCTTACATGGTGCACGAGGATTTAACTCATCTGCACAATGTCCCCTGCACTCTCGTCCCCACCTGCATTCTCCTAGGTCCACCACATACCTCTGCAACTTTAAGCTATATACTTTAACTTTCATTCCCTTTTCACAAGCCTCTGTGTTTTCTGTTTGCAACAATCAATAAGATGAAGATGTCAGCATTACTCTCCTTCCCTCATCCTTCCTTCTTCTTTAGAATGAAATTTTTGTCAAGGATGGGGACTATTTTACAGGAAGGAATCAAGAACAAGATAAAATGAATGGAGGTATTTTGTGACCATTCTCATTAATTTTAAAATCATGATTTGGATGGAGCATATCAGTAAATTATTTTCTCTTAAAGATGACATTATAAAGAGGTGCAACGCCAGGCTAATGGATAAAAGCTTCATAATGTTCTCACCTGACTGTGAATTGGTAGACAGGCACAATAATAGAATTTTGGGGAAAAATAATCCAAACTCGAAACTGATGGAGTTTAAATTCTTTAATGACTCAGGAATGAGATCTAGGTTTTCCCTTTAGCCTTTTTCCTTAAGACATTAGCCTAGTGTTAGCTTACACAGCTTATAAAATACAGGCATTATTGGAATGATTTCTGGACATAAAAGAGAAGTTTTCATTCTTCCTTTGAAGAAAGAAGAATATGAAATAACACATACATAGGATCATTTTTCCCCCGGGGATGGAATGGGGTACATCCAATTCCAACCTTGATTCCCAGTGTCCTTTAAATAAATATTTGCTGAATGAATGAGTTTAGATCTATTAGAGATTAATAAAGGATGGGGGGAATTACACATTTTAGAGCTTAAAGATAATTAAGGCCTGCCAAAAATGTACCTATTGCCACTAGACAGAAATCTAGTCTGGAAAGACTGCTAATCTGATGCAGGATGGCACTTCCTCTAATTTTCCGTGGTAGTATCATGCTGGAAAAAAAATACTGCCCACTAAACTAAAATGCAATGGTTTCCTGCAATTTAGTAATTTGATTTCATACATACTGAAAGAATACTTTCAGACTTAGGTACATATTATGTATCAATCTTGCACATGAATAAAAAAGGGAAATATAAGTAAAATTGGTTATGGTGTTCCAAAAATTTCTTCACATTCAGAACCAACTTTTCTAAATCACTTTTCGAATCAGTTGTCGATGGCTGTGGTTTTCTGTTCAGCATTGTCTCCTGTGCCACCAAAAGCAGTGGTGGTGCACCAAGTCTTCAAAGAGTGCCTCACTATGGAATCCAGTACTTTTTCCCAAGTAGCGATTCTATTCAAGTGCTTTTTTTTTTAAAATTGAATTATAGTTGATTTACAATGTTGGATGCCTGCGCTTTCTTGGTCTATCCAGAAAATGTCAATGGATGGTCTTCAGGTAACATCCAGGATTTATTTTCCATCTTCAATGAGTTTTTAAACTAAAACTTTGAGCAGTTGTGACTGACCAACCACACCATGAGGGATAATAGCTAAGTCATTTCACTTTTTTTGTGTGGGGGGTTGTTAGGCTCACAATTTAACTGTTCAGCTATAGGCTTCCAAAGTACATTAAGAATTAATGTAGCTGGTGAGTAATTCAGAGCTCCCATTATCTAATAGCTTGTAGCTAGCCCCATATCTCTTTTCTGTAAGTGCTGGAGAAATCTTTTTGATTTTGGGAAAATCTTCTCTCTTCTCCTAAGGAAAACTCTAAGTCTGAGAGACTCCTATGCCTGTTAATTCCCTCCTCTTAGGGTTGTGGGTTTTATTAAACAATGCACTTAACTCAGCTAAAATAAGGACAATGTGAACAGCTACTTTCAAGCTTATAAGTGGAGGTAATGGCAACTAGGGTAATACAGACACCTTGCCAATAATATTAAGAGACCAGTTTGTAAAATACACCCTAATTTCAGAGACGTTAAAGAGTGAAAAATGCATGTCTTAGCACCTGTGAAATACCATGGTGGCTGGGTTAATGTGTAATGGGTTTTTCTTTCACCAGTTTCAAGGTTGAGATTTGGAGAGGGCTTGCCTAAAAGAAATCAGTACTTTTTGGTGTGTTAAAAAATCTGAAGGGGGTTATAAATAAACAGCTGCAATAGCCCAGGTTTAAAGGGGGAGAAAGATGTAGTCGGGAAAGCAAGAGCTGAGAAACACAGAAGGAATGGAAACTATGGATGCCAAAGGAATGGACAAGTTTTAAAAAGGGCGGCAACGCCACAAGGTTAACAAAAACGTGTAATGACACTTATAGCAATAGCCAAAGAGCAAAGAAGTTCATTCTAAAATTATTTTTACATAAGACATAAGCTCTCCAGTTAGGGCCCTCTTCATTTTAGGTATGATTATTTTCCTTATCACAGATTATTATGATATATTCAGTACTGTGATTGATGTAGGTTTGTATCCCTCATACACAAAACAGTTTTTGCACACCACTATATTCGTAGTGCGTAGTACATAATACAATTGTATGACTGAGTGGATTCTGGTTAATATTCGTCACCCTTTCATGTGCAGTGCAGGTCTCTGAATACCTAACTTCCTTAAACCTCAGTTTTCTCATTTGTCAAAGGGAAATTATAGATTCCGCTTAAGAGCCTGTAAAGGGTTGCCCTGAATATGAAAGGCAGGAATACATATATAAACCTTAAATACTGTGCCTAGCACAAAGTAAGCGCTCATTAAACAGCAGCTTTTGTTCGATGCAGCTCATGCGGCAAACAGGAAAACAGCGCGAACGACTAGCTCTCAGTCCCATTTGCTTTTCCACAGTTCCTTTGTGGCTTTGAATTGGCAAGCAATTTCTGTGTGGCCCCTCAAACGCTAAAACGTTGATGTCTATCCTGCGCTATGAGCCTAGTCACTTGGGTTGGAACAGGTTTGATTTTATAAGCTCGGGACTGGGGCCCTGACCCTGGAGGAAGTGCTCGCTTTGAAGATGTTGAGGAGGGGAGAGTGAGGCGGGAGGGAGGGGACTCTGCCGCAGGGGATGGGGGGTGCGGGTGGGGGTGGGCAAGGGGCGGTCCCCGGGCTCCTGCGTCAGAGGGGCCCCTGAGTTCGCACCTTGCCTGACGTCAAACCTCAATGAGGGCTGCAGCGCTACATTCCCCGCGGATGTCTACGTGGGCTGAGCCGTGACTAGAGCCCGGGTCCTGCGAGTGACGCTCTCGCTCTTCTGCTCCCGCGCTGGCGGGAGAGACGGTGGCTCGAGTTTCTGGCTCTGCGGGCGGCGGGCAGCCGAGGCGCTCTGGACGGTCCGGAAACCAGGCACCGCCGGGGATCCGGAATAAGAAGGGAGCCCCACTCCGCGGGTCCTCGGCCCC